AGTAAGCACCTGGTCTTGACGCATTTCCATCTGATTATATGAAGTGTCTGATGACCTCAACAAGTTTCATGTAGTCGAAATTCACAAGTTTGAAGGTTGAGTATTGACAAGGGATGAAGATTTCATTGAGTTTCGCCTGCGCGTAGTTCTACGAGCGAGAGCACATGTAAGGCTAACTGTAAGACCGCCAAACAGAGCAGTGCAGAGCGCAAGACTACCATTCAGAATGCAGACCACAAGACACACACACACACACACACACACACACACACACACACACACACACACACACACACACACACACACACAACGTTCAAGCCATGGCAGCAACAGAGCGCAACTCCGCTCACCTGCGTCAAGGTTGTCGAGGTACCAGACATATGTGTGCGGGTGGATGCGCCAGCCGTTGCGGTCACTGCCGTAGGTGTACATGCTTGCCGTGTTGAAGCTGTTGTCCACGCGCAGCCGCCATACACAGCCTACAGCGCAGCAAGCAATGAAGCGACACGTGCGACGTGAGGTTGTTTGTACACTCGTGTAAATGCAACGTAGGCGCACATTCCAGCGCAAACCCTTTTCTACTACCACCACCACCACCACCACCACCACCACCACCACGATACCAGCAGCTTATCACTTCGTCGACGCACTCTGGCCGTTGTCGATGATCTTGGAGCCAAATGTGTCCATGTACGTGACGCGAATCAGGCTGCTGTCATCCTTCTTCGTATGGGTCGCAATCCTGACAACACAGAGAACAAAATGTGATGAGTGAGCCGTGAAGACTTCACGCTTTCACCAGTGTCGTCCGCGTTGTCCAAGAATTGACAGTCACTACAAACGAGCCACTACCAACTCTCACAAGATACAAGCAGCAGCAACATGTCGCAGCAACCTGCAGTGGCAATAAAAAGCAGCATCACTGCTCTTCTCTTTGAAAATGCCACTCTGTCATTCTTCACACATATGGACCCATTGCTTCATCTCGTCAGCAGACCTGTCACTCAGGTCGGTGTAGGAGGTCGACGTTGTGCGGATGTCTCTGAAGTCGCGCCGGGAGCCGCTTGAAGAGAAGACGGGCGATGGCGCAATGACGTAGAGACCACGACGCCGCTCGTGCAGGGAGATGCTGTTCGCCTCAGACCCAGGCCAGCCAGCAAGGATCTATCCAAACATGGATGTGTTGTGTTGTGTTTGTGTGACGTACTTTGTATAATAACTTCACACGTGTGCAACTATTGTGTCACGAACAGGCCATCATCCTTCCCCTCCACAACAAACAACACAACACACACACAACGACACACACACACAACAACACATGCATCCTCATGTGCACGCACGAACCTGGCTCGAGCCGCCACCCATGTACCACTGGAGCTTCACGGTGTATATGCCTGGTCCCAGGTTGAGTGAGCTTGCTTCGGCAAAGTAGTGGATATCAAACGGCCAAATCTGCCAGCCAGAGCCGCCGTGCGTATGGAATGTGTTGCTGCCAAGGTTGACCCAGTCCTTCTGGTTTGGGCGGTAGAGAAGCGCTTGGAAGCCGCATGCTGTCGTGTGTTGCCTGTTCTGATTGAAGCCAAGCGTGTCAGACTGCAGCACCAAGGCGAACGACGTGGCATGTGGCGTGAGGGTATGTATGCAATACATCGGGAATGTGGTAGTGGTGGTAGAGCAGTGGTGGTGGTGGTGGTGGTGGTGGTGGTGTGAGCAAAGAGGGCTGACACGCAGCGCTTGAGTGCTTGCAGGCACGCATACCATGCAGGTACAAGTTATGCCATCATGTCAAGCAACGCACGTAGATGATGTGGAGGTCGGTGTCTGCTTCCGTCTTTCTGTATTGGGCGACGCGTTCCGGCAAATCAACAAACGACGTCGTGGTCGTGCGACGCTCTGCAGCAGAGAGAGGAAAGGAGGCAGAAAACGTGTCAGGTCATAGGGTCATGTGCGTTGTGGATGTACGTGCGAATTTGAGTGTGCGAGTGCGTGCGTTGTGTAAGTGAGTGTGAGAGTATGTGTGCGTGAATGTATGTGTTAATATGTGTGCGTGAATGCATGTGTGAATGTATGTGTGAATGTATGTGTGAACGTGTGGTTGACACAGCAGCCGCTCCGCAAATGCACGCGCAGCCGCGCAATCAACACGCAACGACGGCAGCCAGTGCCACACCTGGCATGTGCTGCTTGACGGTGAATTCCGTGAGCGGAAGTTCCTCCACTGCAAGCGTGTTCTCCTGGTTGCTCTTCCAACCAGCGATGAGGCGGGAGGCGCGGGAGTCGCGGCGATGCTGACAGCGGTCATGGTCACATGCACACGAGAGTGGGTGGATATAGCTGGTGAGAAGTGCACGAGGAGCGAAAGAGGGACAGCGACAGTGACAAAAAGGGCTTTGCGTGCATCCATGGAAACCCTCCAGCGCACGCTCTGATGGACACACGGGATACGCGTATGCAGGCCACAACGCAGTCACACACTCTTGCATACACAGATCCACACACACACACACACACACACACACACACACACATAACACACATAACACACACACACACACACATAACACACATAACACACACACACACACATAACACACACACACACACACACATAACACACACACACGCACACACGCACACACACACACACCACTGACCTGAATCTCAAACTCGTATGTTCCCTCTGGGAGGTCCATAAGCCACCATGTCCAGGCGTTGGAGTACATGGACCAGCTTGTGTAGCCATCACTGCACGTGGCGTGAAACCAAATACAAAGCGTGAGACGTGTGTTGTTTCCCACGCGTGATGATCACGTCAAATCGCACATGCACATGCGAATCACATCACTACAACTGCATGCCATTCGCGCACCTGTGCACCGTCTTGTAGCAACGGCCATCCCTACATTGTCCGTTCACCTGACAGCCAACGCGCCAGTATTAGAACAAGCACGGGATGAGGACTCAAACAAACACTAAAAAGGTTCCCACACACGTGATCAAACAAAAAAAAAATGCGTGTTACACAACGTCGCTCCCGCCATCTCCCTGATGGTCAAAAAACAAAGTACAGGCACATCACATACGCGTGTACATGCACATGCACATGCACATGCATATGATGCTTGCAAGCACTGACCAGGAGGCGGTAATCTGCCGCTGTTCCGCTGGACCCTGTTCCAAGGAAGCCCATCAGATCGGTCCACGTGACGCGCAGGCCCGTGTCGGCAAGCCCGCCTTGCTTGTACACCGTGTAGACCCTGATGGGTGCACAGATGCACGGTTATTGTGAGAGACGAAAACAGACCTGAATGTGTGTGTGTCGTGTTGTGTGTGTTGTGTGTGTATGTGTTGTGTGTGTGGTTTGTTATGTGTGTTTGTGTGTGTTGCACGCGCGCGTGCGTGTGTGATTGCGCACGCAAGGCTCTACAGACGGTGCGTGAGTATCTGCATCACGTGCATCGCGCACCTCGCTGACACTGTTGACCAGGATGTGCTAGTGGTGCGCGAGTCGGGAAAGTCGTGGTTCGCGCGTGTTGGAACATCCACGGTGCAACCTGCATCATCCGACCACGTTAGGCTGCGACAGGCGTGTCCGCGGGCCATGTTCAGCTGCTGCTGCGTTGCGGAGAGCTGCGTCTCCAGTGACTGCACTTGCATGGCAAGGCTGTCTGTCACAGCGGCTTCCAACGACTCCAGCTGCACGTGGGAGCAGATGCATGCGTGAGAGAGCGTGTGTTGTGGTGTGTTGTGTTGTGTTGTGATGTGTTGTGGTGTGTTGTGGTGTGTTGTGGTGTGTTGTGGTGTGTTGTGTGTGCGGGTGCCATGTGTGAGTAATGAATCACAGGATGACTCGAATGCTCGACAGTCGCAATGCATGAAGCAAGACGGATGCGTGTGTTTGTTGAAGCTGCAGCCACATTGCCATGATCACCTCGCCGGCGACGGTGTTGACCTCGGACCCAATGCGACTCTCCAGACTGGAAGCGAGTAGATCCACAACCTGCCCTGACGCGCTCACCTGCATGACCCAATGTATAAACACGTTTGAGGGGAATGTGGGTATGGTCACGTTGAGTACTAAAACACAGTGCACAGCCTGACGGCAAAGGGCCAGGAAACCACAATACAAGGAACTGAGGGTGCTTCACAGCGACACCATCCACCCACATGCACACTAACACAAAACACGCACAAACACACACACACACACACACACGTGGGCCGAGAGATCGTTGTGATTGTCCGTAATGCTGCTAACAGCGTTGTTGACAGCAGCCGTATTTTCTGAGACGGCAGCGCCGAGAGATGACTCTGCCGCAGTAATCTGCGCATGCACAGCAGAAGGGTAAACATGGGGAAGGTGAGCTTCAGATGCGGCGACAGCTACGATAGTCACACGTGCGATGTCCGTGCACGTGCGCCTGTGTCTCTTTCTGAAGCGAGCACACACATGTGAGTGCTTGCATGTGTGAATTCATACGTCACATCTCGGATGTGCACGCCAGTACGTACGCTTGATTGGAGGCTGGCGATGCCCGAGGTGTGTTCACTTGTTGTGCTGGTGAGGGACGCTTCCACAGAGCCAATGGCAGCCATTCTTTGAAAGAGCAAAGCAAGGAGGCAGCAGCAGCAGCACGTGTGACCACGTGTCAAACGCCAAACGCCAAGCAGTTGAGGGGGCCGTGCAACAGAGAACACCAACAGCGCCGCGAAAAAACGTGTAAGTGCAATCCAACCGACACTCACAGCGTGGATGTTGACGTAGAAATGTCGTCTGTCACACGCGTTTCGAGTGAGACAACACCGGAGGATGTCGCACTGGCAACTGACTGCAGGAGGAGGAGGAGGAGAAGGAGGATACGAGACACAGTGTATTGTGTAAACATGTGTGAGAGGATAATTATCCTTGCCTGCATGCATAGGGTGTGCACATTGTGCAGCGGGGCGCTTGCCTTGACCGCCTGCGCCACTTGCGCTTCAGCCACTTCACAGGCGCCCCTCCACGCCTCTTGGGCCAAAAAGAAGAAGAAGAAGAAGTCACAGGCTGTGTTACGCACCATGACGCTGTTGAGCTCCTGCGACAGCTGCGTTTCAACAGACTGCATTGCCGCCTGCAGCGACGAGACACCATCGCTGATGTCGGACCGCAGCCTACATGACCGGTTCCAAACCAAACCAAACAAAAAAAAAACATGAATGTGAGTGTAAATGGGCAGCGATTTTCATTTGGTTGACAGGTGCAAGAAGTAGGTCAGCGGAGCTACTCACACAAAGCATGTTGCATCTTTTCATTCCACAGTCTGACAGGCCCTTGTCTACAACGTCTGCATTCCGTTACCACCGACTCTCAGCTCACCCTGCAAAGGTTGTGACGTCTTCGCCCTCCTGAAACGTGGCCTGGCCATGCGGCACGTGGAAAATCAAGTCTCCATCCAGGGTTTTCACGCGAGGGCTCACTGTTCAAATAAAGAAGTAAGCACGGAGGAGAGAGGGGGGCGGAGAGACGAGAAGAGCCGTGAAGACGGAAGGGGGGGGGGGGTAGGTGAGTTGCAGAGCGTGGGGGTTGTTATAGATGGGATGGTTCAATTCGCACAAAAAGCACGAGAAGAACTTTGGCAACACTTCAAACTGAATCACAAAACATTGCTTACACACTCACACAGCCTGGGGTCAATCGTGGTCGTCGTAGTCGTCGTTGTCGTCGTAGTTGTTGTCGTGGTACTTGTGGTGGTTGCCTGCGCTGTCGTTGTTGTTGTGATGGTGGTGTCGTTGACGCACGCGGCTGGTGTTGGCTGCAGTGCCATCAGCACAGCAGCCATAACAAGCAACAGCGACAAGAGTCCACCCCACATCGTCGTCGTCGTCACAATTGCTGTTTGGTGGGAATGTTTTTGTGACCTTTGCCAAGATGCTTGCAAGCGCCACAACAACAAGCAAGCAAGGCAAGACTCCTTTCAACATCAAATTATGGTGTTGTAATTATAGAAACTGATTTCAGTTTGCGCCATTCGGGACAAGCCAAACACGAACGAAACAGGAAGCAAGAAGTCTCAAGCAAGCAAGCAGCGTGGTCAGCAGTCTTGCCTCATTTACCACGAGTCCACGAGCACCACGACACCAGCCACACCGCACCGCCACACACCACTGTTCAGCAACAACCATGGATCCCAGCAACAACACCGGCAGCGGCGGAAGCGCAACAATGACTGCGTCTGGGCAGGTGCGGCGCCGCCG